CCTAATTTCGATGAGCCTTTATCTCATCCTGTCTTTACCTCAGCCTTGTCCAGTCTCAAGATGCAGGGACTCTGGTGAACCAGATGCTCTCAGTAGGTGTCTTCTCTATATGCCTCCAACAGGAAAAGATGTTAAAACACGTTCTCCACAGCCTTCCCTCTGCTACAGAGTTGAAGGGTCATGAAGCTTCAACTAAGGACAAGGAAAGGGAAGCTCTACCTCTTTACCTAAGGTTTTTTACTGACTTATCAGTTACATAGGACACGTCACGACTGGGCAGAAGGAGATTTCTAGCATCAGGGTGTCAGAGTACTGCTGACCACCTTATATTTGCATTTTCTTCCTTACTTTTCCAAGACAGAAGAAATTTAAAAATAAGTCTCCTATTTACTTTCATGTTACTTTATACCTAACTCACTGTTCTTAACACGAAAAAATTATAGCAGCCTGAAAACAGTTCAAAATCACCTCTTGAAGATAATATATACATTCATGGTGAGCCAGGGACTATTCATCAATTACACATTTACATCACACCCTGTACCTCTAGAACATTCAGGCAGGCAGCCCAGAAGATACATTCAAACGTAAAGCAAATGAGGCTTGCCTAATCAACCGCTGTGCAATCACACCTTGTAAGGGGACCCACATTTGCAAAATGGAGTCTGAGATCACTTATCTTTCCTGTTCTTGAAAGGAAACCTGCTGCAGCCTGACAGCTCTAACAGCAAATGGCACGTACAGAAAGCACTTCCACAGCCTGCTGCCAGCTGAGCCTGCCGCCAGCTGAGCGTGCCTTGCAACAGCAGCACTGAGCATCACAGCAACAGTCATGGCATGATCAGAGCACCAGATGGAACAGCTCTGCCTGGTGTTTCAACAGCTGTTGAGAGAAGATGGGTTCACGTGCTACAGACTGCACTGCACAGGAGCTTCAGCTGGGATAAAAGGCAACATAAAAAGCAAGAGTACTTATGCTCCAGAAGTACAGTCTTTGTAGAGTGAAAGGAAATGGTCAACAATAAGCACAGAAAGGAATAACCAGAGCAATATCTAAGGCAGGAGGGAAGAAGTCAGGGTGCCTTGGGTCAGATCTCTTCTCCATATCTAAGGAAAGCTAACAAAAACACAAGGCTGTGAAAGAAATGATGAAAGTCTATTAGCATGCCAAGGAAAACAACATGTCAAAGTCTGCATGATAAGTCACTGAGGAAAAACATCAGTAACAGGCTTCCTAGACTAGGGAGATTCTACGTGCTGAAACTCCTTTCTGTGCTGTTTGTGTTTCAATGGCTTCTCTACAGAAAATGCATGGTAAAAATTATTTACTTAAGCGCCAGAAATTGCAGACACAACTCTCTCTTCAACAAAATCCCATCACATATTTTTAGCTTAATATTGCAGTAGCAAATGGTGGTCCCAAACATACTCAAGATATGGTGCTTTGGGGACACTTAAGCACACCAAAAATGCATTCCCAGGACTGGGTCACTGAGTAACTGGGACAAGAATTTTCTAAATTACAAGAGGTCTGGGGGAATGGATGAGAGCAGCCCAGTACTGCAAAATCAGAGTGAGAAACAATGATTGTTCTGATCCATTTTTCTTCTGAGTTCACACTTACCCGCACAACTACCACTTGTACAGACACATGTTCAGGCAGTCGAATGGGAGCCCGGAAATGCATTGCCAAAGCTACCAGAAGGTGAAGAATGGAAATCAGATTCTTGCCATGGATTGCTGCAGGGAACAAGAAAAATTAAGCAAATATAAAAGAATACCGAGGTCTTATTTTAAACAGCTCTGGGAAAAAGGCAGGAAAGGCAGTGAAAAATGCCTTTGGTTAACACAATCATTTTTCTTTTTATCCTTCTTCCTCTTTTTCCTAAATTAACAAAGCCTACAGCATAATTTTACAGGTAGAAAAGTCTAGATTCAACCCTCCCTTTAAATTACATGCCTAACTTAGGAGCCCAAATGCTTCAGCTCTCCTTAGTCAATGAAGATGGGCAGACCCAACCACTTGCTTTCCACTGCACTGGAGAATACTGGAATATACTGCTTTTAGCAGACTTCCAAAGTGTCAAGACAAGCTTTCCTGGCTGTAAGAGATGAACCCTACACACTACCTAGGTGAAGGTACTTCTCAAATTCTATTCTTCTTTCTGGACTGTAACATATTTGAACAGAGAGCACTTTCTGCTTAGGCTGTCAGAAGCTGCATCCTTCACCAGCATGCAGGATCCTTTTATTCACACTGTGGTGGCTTGAAGGATTAGACCACCCTACATTAGTACTTGAATGACTAACATATTTCTCATACCTTTAGGGATTCAAACTCAGGAAGCGAACAAAAAATTTCTAATGAAAGCATAGCCTTAAAAGAACAAATTACTTCCATTATAGCCATGGACATCTGTCCTTAAATAAAGATCACAAAAGGTGGTACCAGTTACAATCCATACATGGATGTGGTAACACTCTCTATGCAAATAAATAAGTAATTTTTTTAAAACACACTGCATCACAGAGAATACAATTGACCTATTGATTATCATACCCTCCTTGCCTGTGAACCTGAGACAGAAAACATAACAGAGTCCTTACAGTCAACATTCCACTTGATTGTCCAGCCATGGGGTCGGAGTAAATCATGGACAGCTTCCAGGACTGTCTGCAACTTTTGTTTCTGACCAATTTCAGATTGTGTCACTTCTGCCACATTGAGTTTACGGTCAGCCAATTTTTCTGTATTCATAAAAAAGAACAACAAAAAGAACATGCAAAACCTATTTAAACAAAGGCCTGTGTGGGAATAATAAGCACAGCGCACTTGGCAGAGCTGGGCTCTGCTAGGAATTTTCCAAGGGAATGATTTTCCTCAGAAAGCAGAATAGCTGAAAGCAAGCCTTTCATCAAAGTGTGTAAATTCCAATAAAACCTGTGATGGAAAACTGGAAAGGTCTGGCAGAACATGCTTATCCTTCAGGTGTCAAAATATATAACAACTTCAGATAGGCACCAAGTCAGCAATAGTATTTATTGTACCACTCATTTTCTTTGACTGCTGAAAAGCATTTGGCACAACACAGCCTTCCCTGTACAAGCAATCTGCACGTTTAATGGACTTTTCTAAAAAAAAAAGCTAATTTAGGACAAAAAAAGGAAATATTGTGTGAACATGTACTTCAGCCTTACAACCTTTATTTCAGGTTAGCTGAAGGTATGAATTTAAGCTAAGGCAACCTTTGCCTCCTCAAACCATAAAGAGTCACAGACTCACATGACCCACAGATTTGTACTGGCTTAGTGGAACTAATTGAAGAAAGAAGTATGTTGGTACAATCTTGTCATGTTATGACATTGTCACATCAGGGTTGATTATTTCAAAAACTGAACTAATGCAGGAAATTTTGTAAAATGCCATTACTAAAATCTGAATTCTGTTCCTGTAATATAATTTTTTGTTGCCAGAGTCGTTGGGAAAGTCATTCTTCCCTTCCTCTGCACTTGACAAAGTGGCCCTTGACAAAGACACAGGAACTTGATTTCTCCAAAAAAGAAGAAAGCGAGCTGAGGAAGGTGGGGTAGAGTCCTCCAGGCACCAGAACAATGGGAACAGCTGATCTCTTTTCTCCCTCTACCCTGGGGAAAAAAAATGGTCACACTCTGCTGCTGGGACTAGGAGGTCAGGACTGGTTGAACATATTCCAATTATGTATTATTAATCCAGGCTTTAAAACAAAAGAAACCCACATACCACACCAAAACTGTTTTCACAAAATGGGATGGACCTCAACTCTAAAGATTCCTTCAGAAACATTTCAGACATGTCAAAACCCATTATTCCAATAATGGAACTATTTCTGCTCCTAAATTCAAGAATATGTTTCTTCTGGACCTTTTACCTAGCTGAAGATACATCTCTTGCTCAATTTTTTTAAAAATGACAGAAATACAAAAGTACTTTAATAATTCAAACAGAAGAGATTTGCACATTATCAGCTCACAAATACTTTGAACATTTTGACTGTTTCTATCAATCTACAGCAGTAAATTTTTATCAATACCTGAATAGTATTAATGGGAAAAACTTTCATTAGGCAAGATGTCTCCAAACCTTTCTTAAACTGACTACCAAATCATGCAACTATTATTTTAAATTATTTTAGATTTTTTTAAAGAAATTGTACCCCAAGATTCATTTTTTGGTCACGTGTTATGGCTCCTATCTATTCTCAGCCCAGGTTAGCTGCCAGTCAGCAAGCAGAAATTTTCCTTTCATCCTACCATCATGTGTACCAAGCAACTCCAGCCTCTCTGAGTGGCACTACTTGTACCTCAATAAAATTAACCACACAAGAAGCTCTACCTCAATCAGACAGCCATTTCCTAATCTCTTACTCCAAATTGTTTCAAAATAAGCTCACTGACAAGCTGCTGTCTTTCCTCTTTTTGTATGTGTCTGTCTATCAAGATAGATCTTCTTGAAACACACAAGGAATGCTAACTACTACTTGGAAGTTTAATAATCTACTTCATTTGCCTTTCCTGCAGGCAACAGAAAAGAAGACTTGCACAACAGAGGGCTGACTTAATTCTGAGGCCTCAAGCATCAGGAGCACCACCACAAGCATGAAGTGCTTTGCCTCCTCCATCAGTGAGACAGCAGCAGAATGATAGATTCAGTTATGTAAGTCTTGCTGAAGAAACAAAGACACCACTGAAGAACAATACAAGACTGGGGCTGAGTTGTGATAGCTTCAGATCAGGGGAAAAGCATTCTCCAGAGACCCAACAGGAAGAAAATGAGTAAAACCCATTCCATTTGAAGTCACAGGCTGCAAGATGTTCATGTCCACCTTTCCACCTGTAAGATATCCCAAGTCCAACTGAGCTACGTACGTATGTATGTATGTACAATTCCTCCACAGGGAGTACAAGAAATCAGTGAAAGCTTGGACAAGTGGCTACAGTGAAATGCACTACTGATGCTGAAACAGCAGTGTCTATGTGTTAAGAAGTACAACTGTATTCACACAAATACTCCTCAGATAAAATTAACTCTACACCTCTGCTCCCCACCATGTCTGGAAGGTCCCCGCTGCAGTCTAACTGCACAGTGTTAGAAGTACTCTTGTTTCATTCCTCAAGTTATTTTTGAGGAGTTTCAATTGTGCACTAAGTTAATTGGTGTTAACCAATTTTAAAAGCTTGTGAATGTTCACCAAAACACTGCAAACCTGTTTTTAAGGAGCATATGCATAAAATTCAGTAAGCAGCATCTGTTAGCACCAGTGGAATTAGCACCACTAGGTCCTCTTGCCCCATTCTGACACAAACATCCCACATTCCAGCCCACTCTTGAGATCATGTCATAAGTAAACTGAGAGCAGTCTGACTATCTGTCTCCAAGAAACAGTGTGGAACTACAACAGCACTTGAAGCTTCAAGTCTGTGTGCTAAAAGCATCCCCATAAATCACTGCATCATCGTAAGGTTTTCTCTATTGTGCTTCTTGCACGAACACACACACTGCAAATATGTAAGGAGGTTACAAAATCACAATTGCTTAACTGAGCATATCCTTTCTTGAATCACTTGTACATAAGTGCCTGCATGCCATTCTCTTTTTCTCATTTTTTCCCTTAAAATTAATTCTCTTGGGACCTCAGAAAAGCTCTCAGCCCAAAAGCTTTCAGAGCAAATTATACAGACAAAATTCTGGACCAGATGGCTTCTGCTTGGTTCCCCACTGTAAACACAAATCTCTTCACCACCTTTCTGCCATCTCTTCATCTTTTTTCAGCTGTCTGCACTATACTCAGTCCCTGAAACAGATACCTATAGGAATCATCTGGATTTCCTCCCCTTTCAGCAGACAGCCTGAGAAGAACAGATGGAGAAGCTGACGCTGTAGCTATCAGTGAAACAAACTATACTTGGTAAGATGGCGAGTTACTGCACAGACCTGCTGCTGTCTTCAGCTTTGAAAGAGATTAACTTTGGGCCCCTTCCAGTCTTTCAGGCTGTGTGAACTCACCTAGCAGCTTTTGCAGCACCTGTCCATCATAAAGGTCCTCTTCAAGCTGTTTAACAATGATTCTCTCCTCCACCAGCACATCATTAATCCAGTCAATTAGAACCTGAAAGTACAGAAAGAGGAGGCAAATGTCTAAAAGCCAACGAAACATATTACTTCCATTCAAAGCACTAATCAGGAATATAAAACAGAGCCAGAGTAACCATATTATCATATTTCCAAGTTACAGAGAAATAATACAAAGAGATGCTTTTGCTCTATTGCTTTTAATTCGGGACTTTGAAGCGTGGCAATTTTAATGCCCTCTATTTTTCCTTATTAAAATGTCTCCAGTCTGCACAGATTCTAAAGCAAGTAGCAACTAGCAGCTCTACAACAGTAACCTTTGCTAGTATCTATGTTCTCTAGGTCTTACCTGTTTTACATGAGCAGCAGACCTGCCAATAGATTAGAACAGTCCCGTGCTCCGACTATGATCTCTAGCCTGAATGGATGTGAGTGGGGTCCCAGAAAGAAGAGCCTCAAAAGGGAAAAGATTGAATGCTCCTACTAACAGGAGTTAAAACAGACCCACTAGCTAGATCCCTGCCATTAGCAACAAGACAAGGCATTTTATCTTAAACTACTGCAGAATACGGAAGTCTGGAATTAAAATTTTGGTCAAGTGGGCCTGATAACCATTCAACAACATGTATAGTAGTTCCCATATGCTGACTACTGTAGCTGTAAAAATGAACCACCTGCAAAACAGGAATGAACATAAAGAACTTTTAAAAAGAAAAGGAACTGAGTTAAGTTTTCCAGGTGCCAAAGATAATAATTTCCAAACAGTTACAGGAAAGACAGCCTTGACTGTTTGAAGTTGGCAGTAGTGCTTTCCTCCAGTTTATTATTTGGAAAATTAAATTACTTTTGCAAAAATACTATAGTTCTGTGTTAAATCCTACTAAATCCTTGTTTCTGTAAGAGTAATGCAATCACAAACATGCAAAATCCATTAATTAGAGCCACCTAAAGCAATGAACCTCATTTAAAAATTCTACAGTTTTTATTTCATATAAATTTGTCGATTTTTTAAATTCACTTTCTGATTAGATCCCATACTTCTGCCTCTTATCAGCAGTCATGATGGCCATGTACCAAACTGTGTCACACACAGAGCAAAAGAAGTGAGGAAAAAAGGCTTCTGGCGACAGAGGGAACTTCTTGAACACTTCATATTGACAAATTGTGGCCAACTATTTTTAGAATACCATCAATGATGATAAAAAACAACACTTTGAGCCATAATTTTAGTTCCTAATGATGTTCATGTGTGCAAGAGGACTTAAAGCATGTATTTTAGCATCCCAAACTAAGCAGCCTTCAACAAAGGAATTCACTGTATATTTGCTTTAATAAGAGTGAGGAATGAGGCTTCTTGTTGTTTGGGATTTTTTCCCTGTTGGTCTCTCCATGATACCACAATGCTACACAATCTGTCTCTCCAGAGTTACATACAAGCTTGCACTGATCAATCACTATGCATAGAATTCCTGTGGCATAAAGCTAACAGAAATTAAAACAACATTTTGTGGAGACAAAGAGAGATTCAAGCAGTGTCAGCAACAGATAGCTCTGCTGCTGCTTTGCACTGAGATCCATTTACCCAACTGCATGTGACTGACAGAACAGAAACACTCAAAATCAATGATGGCTAAACCACTGGCACGTCTAACTCTGGTGCTGAAAGAGATTTGGGCTGGCACGAATGAAACTAAGCCATACTGCCAAACTTCAAAAGGCATGAGGCTCTGTTGCTGCTATTGACACATTCCTCTCTGAGGGGAAAAGAGAGAAGCAGTCTGAACTATAAAAACCTCCATCTATTCAACTCCTCACTCCTTCCTAGTCCACAGAGATCTTTCATTTCAAGCTCTGTGAGGCAGTCTTTTCTGCTGGCTGCTGCTGTATAGCACTTAGCACATCTAATTCTCATCCAGCAGTGGAGCTCTTGGAAAACATCATTAACCACTGAAGAACAGAAAAGAAGGAATAAATTGCTCAATTTTTTTTTTGCATTATCCAAAATCTGTGGCATAAAATAGGTTTTGCCAACATAATTCAAACCTCTCCTGCCTTACAGATTCACACCAACACAGTGTTAAATATTTCCCTAGCTGAACCTCTGTAAAAGCTCTCAACTGCTGAGAGGTGTACATATGATTAGCAATTACCTGAATTAAGTAATTTCCAAATAGGAACTCTGCAGAACACGTCTCTTCTTTGAGGATGATCCCAAGGAAACAAACTCCAGTTAGATGCTGTTCCCTACCCCAGCTGCTCCAGTTCAATTTGTATAATTTCTCTTCATGCAAGTGTAAACTGGTGGAGTGAACCAGAGCCTGATTCTGCACTGTAAGCACTTGGCCATGTTCTCGAGTGCTGCTCTAGCCCCAGTTTTCCTTCCTCCTGAAGCTTTTCAGGTTTTTAAACTGGAAAATATAACCTTGCTAGACATCAAAGGAAGACTCACCAACTCATATTAAATTCAAAAGCAAAATTCCCAATTAAACACAGCTCCTATCTCAGTATCAAGTCCAGATGTATCTGAGTGCATTCGGTTCCTTCACTGCAGCGACTCTAGTACAGCTGAATTATTTATGATAATATTGCTGCTCCACTAGCAAACAATACATTTTGAAAGAGTGGTGAAAGATCATTATACCTTCTGAGAGAATTAATGGATTTAGGTGCTAACAAAGGAAGAACATGCAAATTCACTTAATTTAAAACCACAATGTATTCCAGGTAAATTAGAATAACAAAGAAATATGAGCACAGCTCCTTGCTGAAGTTGGTTTGATGTGGTTTTGTAATCCTAAACATGTTATTGCAGTGTTGATAAAAGATCACTAGGCTTGTTTAAAGATGTACCAGGTGAGCAGTATGCTGAGGCATTGTGTGAATCATAGATGTGTGCAGCCAGGGTGCACAAGGTTTCCTGAAAGCAATATGCCACAGCCCAACCCCTACCTGGAGACAGTATACACTACCCAAAGTTTTCAGGCCCATCCGGCTACAGCTGCACTGTTGTTTCTAACAAAAATAAGTTTTAAAAATAATTTTAAAATAATAAAGAGGAAGTGTAGCGGGAACTCTAACACAAGCACAAACGCTTTTTAGAAAGGGATAACATTTGTTCAGAACTGTCATCCCTTCTCTTCCTGCTCAAGTTTTCACTACGTTAACCTCTACAACATACTGCATAGAAAAGGTTCTCCTAAACACTAGTCCCTCAAGATCAAATTCTCCACCATACCTGGCAGAAACTATGAGCACTGCTGAGGCAGGAAGCCACATTTCACATCAGCACAGCTGGGAACACCATCATCAACACCTTGGACAAGTGTCTCCGGTGGCAATACAGATTCAGCACAATCTGCACACACGTAAACCAAGGGCTTTTCTTTACAAAAAACCCACAACAGAAAATATGGCAAAAAGAATCTCAGATCCAACTTTCCTGTAACACCAGAGGTCTCCTCGTTGTCCCCTACCATGCCCTTGCTCATTTCAGTCCCGTTCCTTTTTCTGAAATCTCACCAATGCTTTCCAAAGCTCCATCCCTGATTTCATTAACAGAAGAAACCTAAATTTATGTGCAGTGACTGCAGGTAGATTCAAGCTAAGCTTCACTGTGATAATCACAAGGACATAAATGGACAAAGGAGCTTTAATCTGTAACTACCATGAACACTCTGATACTCAGCCTTTCCTTGTTACACTCGTTACTTTTAGCTTTATCCTATAGATGACCTCTGTTTTCACAGACACACTTCATTAACGAGTTGTAATTCCTCAACTGCATTCTTGGTAACCAGTTTCTAGATGACTTTGGCTCACTAGTCAAAGATTTGAAGAAGGATAAAATAGTCATTTCTTACCTTGATCAGTTCTTTGAACTTGGGGTCTTCTTTTGAGTTAGGATCAACCATAGTTCGTTCCTCATTCTCCTCTGTCCAAGTAAAATGGGAAACTTTAGTGAGATCCACTTCAAATGTACACTGCTGAAATACTGCAACAATTTCTAATCATCAAGAGGCCTGTCGGCTGATCAAAAAATGACACTGCCTAGTCATCAACTTAGCAAGGGATAATCAAAGTGTTAGATATTTTTAAAGACACACAGAAAGATAACTTCCCTAAAGTAAGATTGCTTCCACTGAACTTCCACAGCTCAGACCCTACTGTTTGCAGAATACTTCAGGGAAGTGACTATCCTCTATACCCTGTGGGGCATGTTCATATTACATGCCAAAAAGTGCAGTCAACTGCTCTTCTCCATCTCCTCAATTTGTATTTAATTTCTATTTGAAAACACCTGTCCCAGATTACACCATCATGAAGTTTATGGCACTACACTCAGTGCTACTGGTGAGACTTTGGCAGACAGTCTGTGCCTCTGCCCTCTGTTTTCCCTGAAAAACTTCTGCATGCAACCCTGAGTACATGAACTCCTTTATCTCTGGTTAAGCTGGAGAATGTAAATTACCCCACTTTATATCTGCTGTACTTGTGCATGGGGAATGAACATAAACTAGATCACAGATGCAAAGTCTTCAATTTTTCTGTTGCTGGGAGATGGAAAGATGTGAGAAATGCTCTCCAATGGCCAACAGGACAACCACAAGAGGCGTGAATATGAAGATTAATTTTTGGAATGGATGATTTGATACAGAATTGTTGATAGCAAAATCAACTTGAGCTCAGTAAGGCTAACAATCAAACAACCTTTGGCAGGATTATCTTCACAACAGCGCATACAGACATGCGCATCGTACATGCTTATATGCTACCATAGATACGGATACCAGGAAGCACCTGGAGCAAGTCTCATATTTTAAATTCTGGTGCTTGCTTTCAAAGTAGCAGATACTTACCTGCACCCTTCATTTTAGCTCCTCTAGTAGCCACGTGGTAGCTGTGATCTAGGTTAGATCTGTTCCTTTCAGTGTAGAGCAAACCCTAGCTATTACACAACAGGAACGCAAGGATGGGTGACAGTGTCACAACTACACAAGGAGATCCACATCTCTTGAGCTAAGATAGTTATTTATAAACCACATGGACTCAGTAGGAATCCTATTTTCCTATTGATTTCTCAATTCCTCCCAGCATGACAACAAAGGAGAGGTTTCGGTGTGACCACTGGTCAGGCCATTGCCACATGGCATAGAGGAACGATTAAAAACCTGACAATGACCAACCCACAGTGACTTCCTATTGCAGTGCTAGACTTCACTGCTGTCAGACGGGAAACATGACACTTGCACATTCCAGACACAAGACAGACTATACCATCTAACTGGTTACCTTAGACTTCACCCAGATATTTGGGTTCAACATTTTCCAGGGCCCCTCATCTTTACTAGAAAAATAAGACCCTGCTATCTGAACACACTTAACAAATTTCCAGAAACTATGAAAATGTGAATTCCTTTCCTGTTTTATCTTCCCCTGTTCCTTTAGTTCCTCATTACTGCCTAGGATGAGCCAGGCTGCCTAATTGTAAGGAAGTGAGACCCACTACATACCCAAAATACACCAACAAACTCTGAACAAGATTTGACCCATAATGTTTTTCTCCAAAGAACTTTGCTTAACGTTCACCAGTGGCCATGTCTTTGCATGAGAGGCCTCTAGAAGTGGTCCTGCATCTTCTTAAGTCATACACAGCTTTAGTGGTACCCAGAAGATATAACTGGAGACACTTCTGATCCATACAATCAACACTTTGCCCAAATCTCAGAAGAACAGTACTCTGCATTTCCTACTCGTTTTCTAATGAGAAAATCTAAATGACTAACTCTTCTTGGTTTTAATTTACTGGTTTATTATTTGTCTTCATGACAGCTTGCTTCAACTAATTCCCTAGATCAAGAGACATATGGCCAGGAAAGAAAGAAGTGTTTTATTCCACCAATATTTAAACACTTTTTATTATTAAAATATGCTGCTGTTCTTATAGGGACTCAGGGAGATGGAGAGAACAGGAATTTGAAAATTTACCTTTTTTCTACAAAGCATTGCTTGTTTTACATACTTCTATCCCCACCACATTTAATTACTATTTTCAGCAGCTCGAATGCTCATCTGTTCATACACTATCAGGTCCCATTTTGCTGCACTGTCATTTACAAAGTGATAGCAGTAACCCAAGTAGGAACACGGCATCCGCTAGTTCAGAGCAGTATGTGCATTGAGACAAGGCAGTCTCAGGAACCACAACACGTACTTCTGCTACAGGCTTTCTGTGGGTTGGTTCTCCTGCAATTCAGTTCCCTATCTAGAAAGAGAGAGAAAAGACACCACTTCCTCCCCAAAGAAGGATGACTGAGATGCACTTGGCCAGTGGGTTAATGGAACTGAAGTAAATCTTAAGCAGAAAAATTCAGCAGTGTTTTCCATCTAATTCTTTGCAAAATTTCTATCTACTTTCAGGGTGCTTGCAGAACAACTCAAGTTCTCTGCCAATTCATTGAACAAGTCAATTTTCCCATAAACTACGCACAAACTTTCCCATAAACTAGCTTATGTGTACCTGCATAGCTGACACTGCTCTTTAAATTCCACTTTAGCCCTTTCTGATTTCTGCTCTGCATGTAACATGCAACAGTTCTCAATTCTCATGCCCAAATCTCTCAGTTTCAACTGAGGAATCTACATTCAACAGTAAAGCAAAGGATATGGGAGTCACAGTGGCCGCCTTCACTAATAATCGTTTAGTTGAGTTCTGTACAAATACTTTACCCAATAGTGTGTCTTCTGGATGGATGTCCACAGTGCTTGGGTTCATTGGTGCATTGATAGCATTTTTACCTTCTTCTTGGAGGTCACTCACTGAATAGAAGGGAAAAAAATAAAAACAGAAAGAAAAACTGTAATAAATGAAAAGTTGGCAGATATATAGGGCTTGAAGAGGGTAGTCATAATATGAGAAAACACGTAGTAGATACATTTCAAAATGGGCCCACAGTTGGTGGAATTAAGAACTGCAGCCACAGTGGAAAATAAAATCAAAGTAACATCCTTTTATAGCTTCTTATTAAGCCAAACCACCACATAACTGGCTGAAAATATTTTGCAAGAAACCCAATCCTGTGGTAAAAGCAACCTCAGAGTGCTTGTTTCTCCAGAAGGGAGGAGGGGAGGGGAGTGAGCTGTGTCTGCAGGACAGCCCAGATCTATAGCAGACAGCAAACTGTAAAAATAAACTTCTTTTCTGAAAGCACAACCCCCACTCATCACCACCTTTTCCAGCTGCAGAACACCAGGAACTGCAATATGCTATTGGCACCTACCAAATGAAAATATAATTAATTCTAGCATTGCCACTGACTAAAACCAGAAGTAGCACGATCTGGTGAACACAAATCTGAAATCTGTGATTTCAAGCTCTTGTCCTAAACCTAGCGCTCGCATTTGGGAAAGTCAGTAAAGTACCCTTCATCAATAAAATGGGTATTAAAATACTTCCCTATGTCCTGTCACATGGGAGTGACTAAACTTGAGGACAAGCACTAAATAACTCTTCAGTATCTTCACAGATTTTGACAGTAAGAAAAGCACTAGCAAGTCTGTAACACTTTTACACTCCTCAAGGCGTATCTTCCTGTAAACTCAGATAATGATTATTTATCATGAGCCAAGCTATCGAAATACATGCCTTTAAAATAAGAAATACAAAGACACTGTGACATCTATTCAGTGACAGTTCTGTGTTAGTGTGGGCTAAGTTCATCTTTGCTATTGCAGTCTCCTTTGGGAGAGGTCCAAGCCCCATACTCTTTTCAGGGAAAAACAAAGATTACCAAATAAATAAGGTCTGTTAGACAAACTTTTCTGGGGAAAGAAAAGAAGGAACAGTTAAGTAATAGTCATGGTATGCCAACAAGCACTTCTTTCAAGAACAGTCACTATTCCCCTTTCCCACTGGAAAATCAAACCACAGGCTAATCATTTGCATGCAGTCTTCAAATGTAACAAAATCCTGCACCGATACTTGCTTTTTTCCAATCATAGAATCATATCCTGCTTGATAGAAGGGAAGACACAGAGATCCTACTGCCCCAGAGGAGGACAAGGAAGCAGAATAAACTGCAGTCCCCACTCCTTCTTACACGGATACTTGAAACAGATGCTTAAAACAAGTTACCGCATTTCTTAATTGCAGTTCCAAGATGTTAATTCTGGTTCACAGCATTATATTGAATATGACTTAAATCCTCACAAGCAGCAAACACAAGTCTTGTATTTTGAGACCTTTTGGCTTATGAACCATGTCACAGCAGCTGGTTAGAGCTACCATGGCACAAGGCCAGAGGGAAAAGGGGCTGCCAGCAGTAAGCACGGCTTGCTTTCTGTATTGTGCTCTTTCTGCAAATGGAAGGTAACAGAACAGCATTCTCAACTGCAAACTGAATACAACGTCTGCAGGCTGAGATTTAACATCCTGAATAAATGGAGTTATTAAAGAAACTCTTAATCACCCCTTTTCAGCACTCATTCTCATTTTCTTGGAAAACTCTCCAAAGTCAGGGAGCGAAGAGGCCTCATGCAACAGGCCAAAACAGCTCTAACAGCACGCCTTACCCACCCTTTTTCCATTACACCCAACTATAGCTTTCTTACTGGAGCAGCTCCTATTCCGTGCTGCCAACGGGAAAACAGCCACCAGGAGGCACAAGAAAAATCGTGTGGAAACTGGACATTGCAAGTAAGATTTTTTTAAACCCTGCTAGGACTATAAATGCCCAAATTCCACTTAAATCAGACCCCTTCTGGAAGTACCAGCCTTGTTTCTAGATTTAACTCTCTTTTCATTATCATAGCATTGCTGTCATTCTGGGAATGCCAAGCGTTCAATAAGGTCAGAGCATGGCTCTTTCTAATGCTCTGCAATTGCAGAAGGGAGCTGATAAGTTCCTCTGGGCAGTGAACACATGGTACTGTCTTCAGTGTATGCTGTGTAAACAAAATGCTGCATGTGTTTCAAGCGAGAATACTTTTAAATGCAGCTAAACTAGTTTTATTCCCCAAAAAATCAATTAAGATCACATGTTTGCTTTTTTTAAAAGAATATAAAAATGGTCTCTACCCTTCCTAACAAAAATACACTGTTTCTGAGCAATCTACTAAACTAGAAGAAAAAAATAATACAAATTTGTGTATTAAGCCCCCATTCCTTACGATATGAAGAGCCAGATAAACCCTTACACTTGCTTTCAGATCCACTGTGGCTGTGCCAGATCCTGCAGGACTAAACCACCCTCTGCTACGGCTACCAACAAAACACAGTTATCTCAGCAGAAAGCCTCCTGGCAAAGCTTGCTGCCCAGGGACAGCCCTGCCTACAAAGAGCCTGTACACCAGGTCCGAGGGAGACAGCTTATGAAGAGATCTTGCTACAAACATGTTTCCTACCTCCTTTTTTGCGTCTCTTACACAGGAGCCCTGCCATCCCGGCCCCAGCAGCACAAACAGGTTGCAGATGAGCCGCATGGGCTGTCTGAACACCAAAGGAGCGGCAGCAACTGGATAAGGGGCTGCCACCTCGGGACTGCCAGACCTGTCTTAATTCGGGCATGGTGACACAGGAGGAGGCACCTAAGATAGCCTTCCAGCTGCTAGGTGCAGGGGGGCCGGGAGGGAGGACACAACACTTGGCCATGCACTCCCAGCCAGGAATCTCTCCCTATCCTTGCCACTTCTGGAGACAGCCATGTGCCTCGCTTGGCTTGCTGATGGGCCCCCTAAGAGCAGGCACCTCAAAGATGACATTTTCTCTGCAAGGAGCTTCCTGAGAAAGTCATTGGTACCTGCTGGACAAAGCACAGTTGGGTTTCCCACCATGACAGCCTGCCCAGGAACACACACGTTCACAGAGCAACAGCCAGTATGCAGAGAAGCAAATGCACTTGGGAACAGAAATTTGCTAGGGTATTCCCAACACTTGCAGCACTCCAAAACCCTTTCAATGCTGTGCTTGAACACATGCTGAGGACTTTTTATCCTGCTCACTGCCCCCAGTATTCACTTATCGCTGTTGAGCAAAGAAACAGAAGCAGGAAAAGGAAACCAACTCACAACACTGGAAAAAAAAAAAAACAGAAACCACAGAAAGCAAGTGGAGACAGTTAAAATAATAGTCAGGATGGAGCAGCAGGGAAGAACCTGATAGGTGTTTTGATGAAAATTTACAACAACAAACATCCCGTGCCTTCACAAACCCAAAGGTATTTAGACGATTATGGATATTTATCAACTGGCAAACACCAAGCTGCTCGACTTTTTATCAGCAACTGTGGCTTTGCTGTAAAGACTTATGCCAGATCCTTACATCGAATGAGGAGGGCATTTTACTAGTACAGCAGAGCTGTGCATGCACAATAGGTTATAGTCATGGTAAGTTCCACATGAGGCATATCTGCCTGGTCTTCACCTTCCCATTCCAAAATTCCCTTCTTTTCCCCTTCCTTTCTCCACAGAAAACATCTTCTCCTGTTGCGTCACAATAGTTCTTTGGTGTCTAAATAAGAACTGTGTAAAACATCTTTCTCTAAACCCTGATCATTTAATTTCATACATCAGTCAAAGTAACCTTGCAGTAGAGGACGACAAGAAGGGGTAGGAAACTGAATACAGGCTGGAGCATCATCACTTAGTCCAGACTGGTCCCCAGCAGAACCTTTCCTGTATCGGTTGCCCCAGGCCAGTCTGTTTGCTCCCACCACCACACCACACCAAAGCAGAGGTCTCCCTCAGACACGCCAGCAGAACTAGTATGAGCAGCCCCATCATCCAGGGAATGCTCTCCTGATCATGGAAAGAGTTTGGCTCCACCTTCACCCACAACACAGACTGTGCTAAATGGTTACAGCCTTAATGTAAAACTTGACAATTGTCTAAATGACTCAGGTGTGAATTTACACAGGACAAATCAGATGTAACTACAGGCACAGAAAGATGATGTCTTGGAAAGGTATCTGGCAGAATTAGCTGTGATTTCTCCCAGAGATCTGCTACAGCTTCCCTCCATTCTGGCTGGAGATCTCTTCTTGGAGCCAGCCCTCAATTAACAGGCAGCGCTAGTCCTCTGAACTATTTCAGTACCCCATCCACCAGCACCAGCAAAATCCAAAAGGCACACAGGACAGGCAAGAGGCCAAGGCATTCAGCAAAAACCCTGAGTATGTCCCTAAACCAGAAATTTAAATTCATGAGGAAAAGGTCGCTTCTCTCCTGGTCCCCAGGAAAGCAGCAAGGGTTCCTGGCAAACTTCCAATGTTTGAACACTCTCCTGGCAGTGTCAGCAGTCAACATGATTTAGACACATTGGAAGCTGTGCTGGCCTTTCAAACAAATTAATATAATGAGCCAATCGCACACACACATGCTCTACAGCACTACATCTGTAAGCCAGGCAGTCTGTGTTGGTGCGTGGAATTACAGGCAAATTGCACAGAACAGGAGCAATCAGCTGCAGAATATTGGAAGTGGCACCAGAGCTGTCAAGGATTTCCCACAAGGCAGGAAATGGCCTTTAAAGTCAGCAAGAGAGCGATAAAAAGAAGAGATGTCCCCGCTTTCTCCTTTTTACAAGAAACAATTGTCAACAATTTCATCCTACCTTCATTCTTAATAATTTTAGCATGATTTTAAAAGATATCAACAACAGCACAGTTGATCTCCTAAGTCCATACCATTCACTGCCTTGTTATTAAAAAACTGACCACAAGCCTCTGCCTTGTACAAAAACAGATGGTAAATGCTACTTAATTTTAGCTGTAGTTATTTCTGACTGCAAGGCTGAATCCCACCCCGCAGAAAGCAGCAGCTGCTGTGACGCTCATCACAGGTTTCTAGATATGGTGCTTTCCTTCACCTTCAACCAGTGCCAAGCTGGCTCTGCAGCACTGCCTGACCACAGCTTTTACATGATGTACTTTCATCTCGTGATGAAACCCTAACTTCAGAAGCTAGCAGACTGCTCTGTAAGCCTTGGCCCCGTTACAGATGATTTGTTCAAGTAACTTTGTCATCCTCCTGGATCAGAGTAGCACACAGACGGGAATTGTGCAATGATCCCATACCTCAAACTGCAGAGGAAGCTCTCTTCCTGCCCCCAGTGTCTTACTGCTTCCCAAGTTTCCTTGCTCTTCCCAGAGACAAAACTGTGACCAGCTGCACTTTTTCAGACAGTGACTCACCTACCTGCAACTCATACCCTAATAGTTCAGATAAACTTGTGCAAAATAGAAAGTTCATATTCAAGATCATTTCTACACCATTCAGACTAGTGACACAACCCTCATTCACTCACACCTCAGGTGAGATGCAGCCACAGGACTAATCCCCCTGATGAAGCTGCCGACCCCTGCATAAAAGATTCAACATCTGCTGGAACTCACACTTCCCACAGGAGGTGTCAGACCAGAAGGCAACAGGTTCCTGGTGGGTGAAGACCCTGCAGTGCCTACCTCTTAACCTGTTCCTTTGTTTGCCTGTCAAAGTCTAATACATGCAGCCATGCACACACAGGATTTTCACCTGACACCTAAAATTCTTTCCTGAAAAGTCCTCTTGGAAATTGTAGCTTTCTAGGAACATTAAAATAAAAAAAATAAAAAATAAAAAAAGTTTTACAAAACCTGGCATTTTCCAAGAAAAACTTGTACTGAAAGATTTCAAAACCATCCCCAAACAATGCATGCTGATACACTGAGTCTCTTTTTCTAGAGACAAACCACACACACAACTCACTACTCTGTTTAGTACTAATCTAAAACTAAACTAATCTGTTTAGCAATTAGTACTGCATTACTAATCACTTAACATTTACAAAAGGCTCTGAGATCTTTTGATAGAGACTGCAGGAGAAAGACAAAGCCTCCATTAACTATAATAGAGAATTAATAATCCCAAGCAGGACAAACCCAAAGACCTGACCAGATCCACATAAAGGTACTGTATCAAGGGACTGCATTCAAAGCAGGACTGTGGTAATAAAGGAAATTATTTATGTAGGCAGACAAGGCACTCTCAGTTGCCAAGCTCTGCCACTAAAAGAAATGGAAAGAGCTAAAAAAAGGGGAAAATAAAGCTAAAGGAAACTTTTAGGAAAAGGCAGTAATAATGCTTTTAGTTTAGTTGCGAAGAGAAGGCCATGCTTGCTTATACAGATGTGTTAAACCTACACAAATGAGTAGTCTATTCTGTGACTGCCAGACTAGAGATCTCCCCTTTATTTTTGCCAGGGATAAAATAAGCAACATTTTCAATACTTGAGCCAGCTGGAAATGTTTCTGAGAAGCTGGGGCTTTGTTTTGCTTGTGAGGGTGAATTATTGCTTTCAGATTTCCACCCATGAAAAGTCTTATCTAAATATCAAGTTGTATGGGGGGTGGAGAGTGTGAAAAAAAGAATCTGCATTTTTTGGTGGGTGACACCTGTGTTGAGATAGCCAGTATTAATACGGCTACAGCTGACCTGGCCAAGCCATGCACATGTACCGGCCCTCCTAACAAAAGGAGGGGTGCGCTGGGGCAGAATGGGAACAGGCAGAGATGCAGCAGCTTGGGAGAGTGAAGCATTAACAGACCACAGCAGCCGCAAGTGGTTTTCAACATCACCAGCAGTGGCAACTGAACACTAAATCAAACAAAATGAGACTCTCATTACTACGCAGACAGACCTTTAGCCAGTTACATGGCCCACTTCAGTTCAGCAAGAAAGCTGAATCCTACAAAAAGCAAGCTGCTATGCGCTGAACCAGTTTTCTGCTCCAGGTCCCTGTGAGTACAGTGCTGGTGCTGCCAAGGAGGAAGAAGGATCCTGTCCTCACACAGCTGCTGCTACACTGGGCAGCCTTGCCTTAATCAGTCAGCCATGGACGATACAACAGCCAGCAAAGCAGTTATGCTGCTGGAATAACTGAACAGATAGATTACCCCTCCGGTATTAATCTGGCTCTGACAGCGAATGACAAAGCCACAGCTGACCCACAGCTGCCAGGGCATAAACAGACAGTGATAAAAGCCAAGGTGAGACCACAGTACTAACAGACAGCCATTGTATTCAACATTCAGGTCTTCTTTCCAGCAGCCATACTAATCCCATTCAAGCCTCACAGCTACCAAAGGACCAGACCAGAATTCATCTCAGCATTTGCTCCCCATCTGTTTTAGTCTCCTTCTGCAATAGGTCTAAAACCCACTTAGCAATACTTAAACAGGAATCCTTTGAAATAGCTTCTCCGAGGCAGAAAAGCAAGATGCAGACTTCAACAGAAGCATACAGCAAGCTATGGATCTAAAACTAAAACTTCATCGCTTTACTGTAAATCCCTGTTTCTCATTTCTTTCATTATTGTCTTAAGGGATGGTTATGTAGCTGTTTTCATCAGGCAAACATCCATGATATCAGCAAAGAGGCACTACAGACTTCACCTCCATCCCTAGC